TTTTTTTAGTTTCTCTTTCTGTGAGTTCATTATTGGTGTATAAGAATGCCATTGATTTCCTTTGTATTGTGCTACTTTGCTGAATTTTTTATTAAATTGAGTAGATTTTTGATGGAGTCTTTAGGATTTTCTATATACAATATCATGTCATCTGCAAATAATGACAGTTTCACTCCCTTCTTTCCACTTTGGATTCCTTTTACTTTTTCTTTATGTTCAATTGCTGTGGCTAAGATTTCCAGAACTATGTTAAATAAGAGTGGTAAAAGTGGGCATCCCTGTCTTGTTCCTGTTCTTAAGGGAAATGCTTTTATTTCTTGCCCATTGAGTATGATGTTGGCTGTAGGTTTTTTATATGTGGTCTTTATTATGTCAAGATATGGTCCCTCTATTTCCACATTGCTGAGCATTTTTATCAGAAATGGGTGCTGGATTTTGTCGAATGCTTTTTCAGCATCTATTGATGTGATCATATGTTTTTATTTTTTATTTTGTTTATGTTGTTTATCACATTTATTGATTTGTGAATATTGTACCAGCCTTGCATCCCTGGGATGAATCCCACTTGGTCATGGTGAATGATTTTTTTAATGTATTGTTGGACCCAATTTGCTAATATTTTGTTAAGGATTTTGGCATCTATGTTCATCAGGAATATTGGCCTGTAGTTTTCTTTCTTTGTAGTGTCTTTGTCTGGTTTTGGAATTAGAATTATGCTGGCCTCATAAAATGAGTTTGGAAGTCTTTCTTCTTCTAGGACGTTTTGGAATAGTTTGAGGAGAATGGGGGTTAATTCTTTTTTGAATGTTCAGTAAAATTCCCCTATGAAGCCGTCCTGGCTTGGGCTTTTGTTTGCTGGGAGTTTCTTGATTACATCTTCAATTTTCTTAGTTATTATTGGTCTGTTCAAGTTTTCTATCTCTTTCCAGTTCAGTATTGGAAGAATGTGTGTTTCTATAAATTTGTCCATTTCACCTAAATTGCCCAATTTGTTGGCGTATAATTGTTCATAGTATTTTTTTACTATCCTTTGTATTTCTGTGATGTCAGTGGCTACTTCTCCTTTTTGGTTTCTGATTTTGTTTATTTGGGTCCTTTCTTTTTGTTTCTTGGTGAGTCTGGTAAGGGACCATCAATCTTTATTATCTTTTCAAAGAACCAGCTCTTTGCTTCATTGATCTTTTGAATTGTTTTTATAGTTTCTATGTCATTTATTTCTGTTCTGACCTTTACCATTTATTTCCTTCTACTTGCTCTGGGTGTATCGTTTTGTTTATATTCTAGTTCTTTAAGTTGTAGGGTTAGATAGTAAATCAGAAATTTTTCTTGTTTCTTAGGTAGGCCTGTAGTGCTACAAACTTCCCTCTCAGAACTACTTTCACTGCATCCCATAGATTTTGTGTGGTTGTGCATTCATTTTATTTGTTTCTAGGAAGTTTTTTATTTCTTTCTTGATCTTCTTGGTAACCCAGTCATTGTTTAATAACATGCTATTTAGCCTCCATGTGTTTGAATGTTTTTGCTGTAATTGATTTCTAGTTTTGTGCCATTGTGATCTGAGAAGATGCTTGGTATGATTTTAATCTTCTTGAACTTGTAGAGACTTAGTTTGTGTCCTAACATGTGATCTATCTTTGAGAATGTTCCATGTGCAATGAAGAAAAATGTGAATTCTGCAGTTTTGTGGTGTAATTTTCTAGATATCTATTAAATCCATTTGCTCAAGTGCATCATTTAGTTTCTGTTTTCTTGTTAATTTTTTTCCTCTAGAGCAGTGGTTCTCAACCTGTGGGTCACAACCCCTTTGGGGGTCAAACAACCCTTTCATAGGGGTCGCCTAAAATCATCAGAAAACACATATTTCTGATGGCGATTCATAACAGTAGCAAAATTACAGTTATGAAGTAGCAATAAAAATAATTTTATGATTGGGGGTCATCATAACATGAGGAACTGTATTAAAGGGTTGTGGCATTAGGAAGGTTGAGAACCACTGCTCTAAAGGATCTATCCAGGGATGTCAGTGGATGTTGAAGTTCCCTGTTATGATTATATTGCTGTTGATTTCTCTTTTGAAGTCCTCCAGAAGTTTTAAAATGTATTTTGGTATTCCTATATTAGATGCATGTATGTTTACCAAGGTTATATTCTCCTGTTAGATAGATCTTTTCTATATTATGTAGTGGCCTTTGTCTCTAGTTATGGCATTCATTTTGAAGTCTATTTTAGCTGCTATCCAGCTTCCCTCCCCCCCCCCCCTTTCCTTTTGTTTGGAAAGTTTTTTATCCATCTCTTCACTTTCAACCTGTGTGAGTCTTTTGTTATGAGGTGGGTCTTTTATAAACAACATCTATATGAATCATGCTTTCTTATCCATTCAGCTACTCTGTGTTTTTTTCTTTCTTTTTTTTTTATCCTCACCTGAGGACATTGTTTGCATTTATCTTGAGAGAGAGAGGAGAAAGAGAGAGAGAGAGAGAAACATCGATGTGTGAGAGACACATTGAGTGGTTGCCACCCACACAGCCCCAACCAGGGCCGGGGACAAACTGCAACCGAGGCACATGCCCTTAGCGGTAACCAAACCTGGGTCGCTCTGGTCTGTGGGGCTACACTTCAACTGCTGAGCCACACCGGCCAGGGCTACTCTGTATTTTTTGATTGGAGCATTTAATCCATTTATGTTTAAGGTTATTATTGATATGTACTTATTTATTACCATTTTTGTTTATTATGGTTATGTTTCTCTTCCTATTTGTTCTGCTTATTACAGCAGTATTTTTACCATTTCTTGGAGTGCTGGTTTGGTGCTAATATATTCATATATTCCCTTAGCATTTTTTTTTTTTTTTCTTATCTGGGAAGCTCTTTATCTCACCTTCTATTTTGAATGATAGCCTTGCTGGGTAGAGTAGTCTTGGATTCAGATCCTTGTTTTTCATGACCTTGATTACTTCATGCCATTCCCTTCTGGCCTGTGGTGTTTCTGTTGAGAAGTCAGCTGATAGCCCTATGGTGGTTCCTTTGTAGGTAACCTGCTGCTTCTCTCTTGCTGCCTTTAGGATTCTCTCTTTGTCTTTAATTTCTGGCATTTTAATTATGATGTGTCTTGGTGTGGGCCTGTTGGGGTTCTTCTTACTTGTGGCTCTCTGTGCTTCTTGAACTTGATGCCTTTTTCCTTTGCCAAGCTAGGGAAGTTTTTTGTCACTATTTCTTCAAATATAGTCTCTAAACCTTGCTCATTTTTTTTTCTTCTGGAACTCTTATGATGCGGATGTTATTATGTTTCATATCGTCCCACAGTTCTCTTAGGCTGTCTTCCTGTTTTTTAATTGTTTTTTCTTTTTGGTTCTCTAACTGGGTGATTCTTCCCTACCCTGTCTTCTAACTCACTGATCCATTCCTCAACTTCCTCTACTCTGCTTGTTCCTTCCAATGTGTTCTTTATTTCTGCTATGTCATTCTTCATTTCCAATTGGTTGGTTTTCAATGTTTCTATATCTTTACTCATGTTGTTGAGTTTCCTCATGATTATTACTCTGAACTCTAACTCTGATATCTTATTTAATTCCACTTCATTTATTTCTTTTTCTGTAGAATTGTCTTGTTCTTTCATTTGGGATTTGTTTCTTTGTTTCACCATTTTGGTTGTCTCAGTGGGTTTTGGAGCCTGCCAAATTTCCACTGTGGGTTCTGTTGTTCCTCTGGTTGTGGCTCCATCTACTGGGGTTAGATGAGTGTGGGAGAGCCTGCGTTAAACACCACTGCCAAGTCTTACTTTCCTGGGTAGATTTGCAAGCCAAGGAAAAGTTCAGTTATCCTCTAGCTTTTTTGCCTGGAGGCTATTAGTCTCAATTACTTGATGAGCTTTGATTTGTAGCCCTCAGCTGAATGTAAAATCCCTCAGATGTAAGAGGATTTCCAGCAGGTGGGGCACTTGCTTGCTATTAGACTCTAGATGTTAATGAGCCTCAATTTGCATTTCTCTGCCTTGGCCTGCTGGTGTTGAATTCCTGAGGGAGGGGCCCTTGCTTCTTCCCAGGGCTCTGGGAAGGGGCTCTTTGAGTAATATGGCTACTGTCCTGTGAAGGAGTTATTCAGCACAAAACTCCTGGTATCCTCCCCTCCAGCTCTCTTCTGAGCCAGAAGCCCTGGACTCTCTCCATACAGTTCCAGTCCAGTCCACCCTCCCTCTGCTGGAGCCCAAGGTGAGTGGCTGTAGCTGATTTGGTGTTTTTTTAAATCCCCACTTTCTCAGTGGGAAGCACACACAGATAATACAGTTCTCCACTGCTGTTCATGGGCTCCCAGCCTACCCTCATTTGCCTCTGCAGTTCCTACCAGGCTTGATTTGGTGTCCTTTTTCTGTCCCTGGTTATATGGGTTCTCCCCAGCTGCTTTTCAGTTGGTTTTTCCTGTCAATTTGTCTTTATTTTAGTTATAATTCCAGTTTGGTCCTGGGAGACAGTCTGTGTACCTTCCATTCATTCCACTTCCATTTTTCATCCTTGTACAGTACAGTATTGTTAACTATGGTTGCCACGATGTTCATTACATACCTAGGATTTACTTACTTTAAACTGAAAATCTGTACCTTTTGATTCCCTTCATTCATCTTACCCACACCTCCCCTCCCCACCTCTGGTAATCATCAGTCTGTTCTAAGAGATCTCAACTCTCAGAAAAATACATAAGGTTCAAAATTTTACATCTTAACCCATCAAATCTTCACAACAACTCTGGGGCAGATACTATTATTATCATGATTTTACACATGGGAAAACTAAGACAGAGAGATTAAGTAACTTGCCTAATGTCATACAACTAGTAAGTGGCAGAACTGGGATTTAAACCAAGGCTGTCTGGCTTTGTGGTTAATACCCTTGTTACTCTATTATTTATATTTATTTTAAAAAATAGAACCTGGAAATATTTATGCTGTTTATTTTTATTTTATTTCTTTTTCTCCATCTTTATTGAGGTACAATTGACTGATAAAAATGACATATGACTGCTCGGTCAGTGTGGCTCAGTGGATTGAGTGTCATCCCATGGACTGAGAGGTCCCAGATCAATTCCCAGTCAGGGCACATGCCCAGGTTGTGGGCTTGATCCCCAGTGAGGGGTGTGTGGGAGGCTGCCAATCAATGTTTCTCTCTCACATTGATGTCTCTATCTCTCTCTCCCTTCCTTGCTCTCTAAAAAAATCAATAAAAACATATTTTTTAAGAAAAGATATATGATTAGGTGCATACTTGATGAGTTGATGCACTATAAAATCATTGCCACAGTCAAGTTCATTAACATGACACATTTTGATAGCATCACTAAGAATTCCCACTAATAAAAATAATTGTCCATATAACATGTCAGGTATGAATTTAAGCCCTTTGTGCATATTTTTCTCATCTAATCCTTATAACAAGCCGTAGAAGTAAGAATTATAATAACATATGAGGAAACTGAGGCTCAGAGAAGTTGAGATGCATCTGGAAAGGTGAGTGGGAAGGACAGCAATGAGGTGACTCTTTTCCTCCCTAGGACTCCATCCACTGTTGATACCCTTGCTTTTTGTTTTAGAACTACCTGGACATGAGCAATCAGACTCAATTCTGTGAATTCATCCTCCTCGGTCTTTCCGAGCAGCCCTTGTCACAGCAGGTGCTCTTTGGGCTGTCCTGCAGCCTGTATCTGATTGGGTGCCTGGGGAATCTGCTCACCATCCTAGCCATCGTCTCAGACCCTTACCTCCACAGCCCCATGTACTTCTTCCTCAGCAACTTGTCCCTTCTAGACATTTGCTTTACCTCCACGACCATCCCCAAGATGCTCCTGAACCACCTATGTGGGCACAACACCATCTCCTCCTCTGCTTGCCTGGTCCAGATGTATTTTTTCATCACCTTTGGGGCAGCTGACAGCATCCTTCTTTCGGCCATGGCTTATGACCGCTACCTGGCCATCTGCTGCCCGCTGCACTATATGACAATCATGAGCGTCCTTCGGTGTGCCTTGCTGGTGGCAGTACCCTGGATCTTGGCCAATTGCATCTCCATGGTTCATACTATTTTGATGACTCACTTGGCCTTTTGCACCAATAAGATCCCACACTTCTTCTGCGACCTCAACGCCTTAATCAAGCTCTCTTGCTCTGACACACAAGTCAACGAGATGTTGGTATTGGTGCTTGGGGGTTCAGTGGTTCTGGTCCCTTTTGTGTTCATCATGGCTTCTTATACACCTATTGCTGTGGCTGTGTGGAAGGTGCCCTCAGCCCGGGGAAAGTGGAAAGCATTCTCCACCTGTGGCTCTCACCTTTGTGTTGTCTGTCTCTTTTACGGAACCATCACTGGGGTCTACTTCAACCCGGCATCCATACACACCACCCACAGGGATATGGCAGCCACAGTGATATATACCATGGTGACTCCCATGCTGAACCCCTTCATCTACAGCTTACGGAGCCGAGATCTGAAGAGCGCCCTCAGGAAACTTCTCAGCGAGAACCACTTTGCTAAGTGTCTTTGAAGACTCTTCTTATATCCAATTGCTTTTTAAATAAACTAATGCTTCCCAATGTCAGGGTGGTTTTTCTTTTTTTCTTTTTTTTTTTAAGGTGGAAACAAAGTTATTATTCATGTAAGTTCTTTATTTTCTAATATATTTTGAATATATTTTACATATGACATTGTGTAAGGTGTACAATGCGTTTATTTGATACACTTATATATTGTAATATAATTGTTGCTGTAGTGATATTTAGAATTTGTCACATTAAATAATTATCCTTTCCTTTAAGTGGTTGAGATAATTAAGATTTAGTCTCTTAGCAAGTTTGATGATTGTAGGAATTTATATATATATTTATGTTTTCAATGATTTTTTTAGAGAGAGAGAAATGGAGAGAGAGAAACATCGATGTGAGAGAAATATATCTATCTATCGGCTGCCTCCTGACATCCCCCACTGGGGATCGAGTCCACAATCCAGACATGTGCCCTGACTAGGAATTGAACTAGCACCTCTCAATCCATGGGATGACTCTCAATCCACTGAGCCACACTGGCCAGGCTGTAGTACAATATTGTTGTCAATATTCATTATACTGCACATTAGATCTAAATGGCTTATTTACTACTCATTGAAAGTTTGTAACCTTAAACAACATCAATCTTATCTTCCCAACCCCCATCTCCTGCTAACCACCATTCTCTGTTTTTCCATGAATTTGATTTTTTAGATTATACATATTAGTGATATCATATACTACTTGTCTTTCTCTAACTTATCTCACTTAGCACAATGTGCTCAAGGCCCATCCATGTTATTACAAATGGCAGGATATCCTCCTTTTTCATGGCTGAATAATATTATATATATACAGCACCTCATTTTTTCCCATTCATTCATTGATGGGCATTTACGTTGTTTCCATATCTTGACTATTGTGAACAATGCTACAATAAATATAGGAGTGCATATCTCTTTCAAATTCTGTTTTCATTTCCTTTGGGTGTATATCCAGAAGTGGAATTGGTCAATTGTATGGTAAATCCTTTCTTTTTTCTTCATATTTTTTTTAAATTAAAAAAACAATTTTTAATCTTTATTGTTGAATGTATTACAGATGTTCCTCATTTTTCCCCCGTTGACTCCCTCCTCCTCACTCCCACCCCACTCCTGCCTTTTCCCACACTACTGTCTGTGTCCATTGGTTATGCATATAAGTTCTTTGGTTTATTTCTTCCCACCCCCCAAACCCCTTCTCTTTGAGGTTTGTTAGTAGAGCAACCAATGTGTTCTTAATCCCTTCACCTTTTTTACCCATTCCCCCAAACCCCTCCCATCTGGCAACCAACAAAATGTTCTCTGTATCTATGAGACTGTTTCTGTTCTGACTGTTCATTTTGTCTGTAGATATGTATTCATTGTCATTTTGTTTGTTCATATATTTTATCTTTTTCTTCAAAAAGACCCTTCAACATTTCATATAATAATGGTTTGGTGGTGATTAACTCTTTTAACTTTTTCTTGTCTGGGAAACTCTTTATATGGTCATCGATTCTAAATGACAGCTTTGCAAGATAGAGTAATCTTGGTTGTAGGTTCTTGCTTTTCATCACTCTGAATATTTCTTGCCACTCCTTCAGGCCTGCAAAGTTTCTTTTGAGAAATCAGCTGGCAGGCTTATGGAAACTCCCTTGTAGGTAACTAACTGCTTTTCTCTTGCTGCTTTTAAGATTCTCTCTTTGTCTTGAACCTTTTGCATTTTGATGATGATGTGTCTTGGTGTGGGCCTCTTGGGGTTCATCTTGTTTGGGACTCTCTGTGCTTCCTGGACTTGTATGTCTGTGTCCTTCACCAAGTTAGGGAAGTTTTCTGCCATTATTGTTTCAAATAGGTTTTCCATTTCTTGTTCTCTCTCTTCTCCTTCTGGCACCCCCAAAATGCGAAGGTTGGCACGCTTGAAGTTGTCCCAGAGGCTCCTACACTAGCCTCATTTTTTTGGCTTCTTTTTTCTTTTTGCTGTTCTGACTGGGTGTTTTTTGATTCCTTGTATTCCAAATCGACGGTTTGCTTCTTGGCTTTACGTACTCTACTATTGAATCTGTGTAAATTATTCTTTATTTCAGTTAGTGCATCCTTCATTTCTGACTGGTCCTTTTTAATGCTCTTGAGGCCCTCACTAAGTTCACTGAGCATCCTTATAAGCAGTATTCTGAACTCAGCATCTGTTAGGTTGCTTATCTCCATTTTGCTTAGTTCTTTTCTTGGGGTTTTGTTCTGTTCATTTGGGACCTGTTTCTTTGTCTCCTCATTTTGGCTGCCTCCCTGTCTTTGTTTCTGTGTATTACTTAACGAGAGGTATGGGGCTATCTGAGACCAGATGCTGCTTGTTTGAAAGAATTTAGGAAAACCTGAAGCAGGATTCTAGTCAGGCCAATCCTATGGTTAAGCAAGTGGCAACAGCTTGGGTGGGCCTGAAAGTTGGGTGGATTGGGGCCTCAGGGAATCACCAGGGCAGGGCAACCAGTATGAGCCAGGTTGCTGGAGTTCCAGATATGGCGGCTGTCTGCCACCCCAGGGAAGGGCTCACCAAAGGAACAAAGACCTTTGACAGCATGTTTGTCTTGGAGAAAGCCCCCTTCTCCAGCCTTTGCTCCAATGCCAAACAGCTCAGCTCTTCCCTGTATGTCTCTGGTGCCCCTCGAGCTGCCTCCTCTCCAAGCTTAGAGGGAGCAAGTCTGATTAAGTTCGAGCGAGGGCCCTTTAAGAGGAGCTGCCTGGGGCTCCAGCCACCTCAGCCTCCCTGAGTCTGAGTTCCTGCTGGTTTTTCCAGCCAGAAGTTATGGGTATTCTCTTCCTGGCACTGGAACCCTGAGCGGGGCGTCTGGTGTGGGACAGGGACCCCTCAGTCCTCAGGGAGGATCTTCACAGTGTCCTCCTGATTTTCATCTGCCACCCATGGGCGTGGGACCAGCCCGTCTGCCTCTGCCCCTCCTACCAGTCTTGATGCGGCTGCTTCTTTAATTCCGTAGTTGTAGGACTTCCATTCAGCTTGATTTCAGGTGGTTTTGAATGATGGTTGTTCTGTAGTTTAGTAACTTTTTGGTGTAGTTCTGTTCTGTAACTTCGAAGTGGTTGTGGGAGGATGCGATACCACTTTTACCTACACTGCCATCATGAGCGGATGTCCGGTAGATCCATTTTTAATTTTTTGAGGAAACTCCATATTATCTTTCAAAGTGATTACACCAATTTACATTCCCACCATCAATGTATAAGGCTTTTTTTTTTTTATACCATATAGTTGGCAACACCTTTTTTTTTTTTTTTTTTTTGTATCTTCTTGATTATTGTAATTCTAACAGGTATAAAGGTGATATCTCACTGTGGTTTTGATTTGCATTTCCCTGATGATTTAGATTTCCCTGTAATGTTGAGCATTGTATCATGTACCTGTTGGCTATTTTGATGTCCTCTTTGGAAAGTTTATTTAGTTTTGCTGATTTTTAAATCACATTGTTTTTGGTCTTTTGTTACATTATATAAGTTCTTTATATATTTGGGATATTAATTCCTTATCCAATATGTGGTTTGCAAAAATTTTCTCCCATTCTGTAGGTTGTGTTTTAATTTTGTTAATTGTTTCTTTTGTTGTGCAGAAGCTTTTGAATTTGATGTAGTTCCATTTGTTGATTTTTTTATTATATTGTTTGTGCCTTTGGTGTCAAAGCCAAAAAAATTATTGCCCTGACCAATATCAAGAAGCTTCTTCCCCATGTTTTCTTCTAGGAGTTTTATCTTTAAGTCTCTGGTCCATTTTGAGAAATTTTTGCTGAGTGGTGTAAGATAGGGGTCCAATTTCATTATTCTGCATGTGTTTATCCAGTGTTCCCAACACCATTTGTTGAAGACTGTCCTTTCCCCATTGGGTGTTTTTGGATCCCTTGTTGAATATTGGTTGAAACTGAGAACTTTTCAGGGTGCTGTTTCTTGGCCCATGGATACATTAAATAATACACAAAAGATATTCCCTTTTATTCCCTTTTTAGTTCTTTCTGTCCTTCTGATTACACTCAGAACATTTTGATTTAGTGCTACTATGACTTTAGCACTTGCACATCACATCTCTTCAGAAAATGAGAAGGGACTTGGGCTCAGAGCTTTCAGAGGGCTAGAGTTGAAACAACCTTCTCTCATGTTCTTGCTATTCTCTTTGTACTCTTTCTTCTATAACAGCTGGGGTTCGGGTGGGAGAGTGAAAAACATGCTCTGTCTGGCACTCTTATCAGGTGGTTTTGGTTTTCTATTTACGGCAATGATCTCTTCATTTATAATGAAAAACGTTATAGGATTAAAGACATTCAGTCGAAAGAGAGTTACTAAGTAAATGATGGCCTTGCTGGTGCTCAGATGTAGCCTGAGGAATGGAGGTACTAGATCAAAGAGATTGCCGGTGCTGAGTCAAGAGCAAAAAAGACTGAGATTTCATGATGGTTTGGGATCACTGGCTTTACATTCTAAGAGACTTGGGTTAAAAGTCTTCTTTGCTTGTATGTAGGCTGTCTCTTCTCACTTTTTCTTTGAGTGGAAATTTTCTTCTTCACGAAGTGGGGGCTATTCAATCTTTCCTTCTACCCTGTTGTTGCAAGTCAGTTAATTTCATGTCTCGGTGATATTGTACCCTCAGTTATTAAATGGAGTTAGTAATGGTACCAATCTCCCCAGATGGTTGTGAGAATTGCATCAAATACAATGTAAATCATTATCAAAGGACTCACTAAATAGTAAGCACTAGATAAATCAGACTCTTATGGCTTAGAATAGACAAAAGTTCAAGAAACTAAAGATCTATTTTAAATGAAATATGCCTGATTGTCCTTAACAGTTTTTTGTTTCCAAATGAGTTGTAAAGTTATTTGTTGAAATAATTTTTAAGTGTTTCCACTCTTTTTTTTAAATGGAGACATAAGGCACTGAAAAAAGCTCCCAGAATTTGAGGTTTTTGTCAATTCATGAGAAGC